AAAAGCACAAAAGCAGAACCACAAGGGCTTCAAGGGTTATAGTATGGTCTGGTGAACAAACAAGGATAATTACTAAGACTAATCGAAACAAAAATTTGCCTAAACCTAAGCGAGTGATCAATTCACTAAAGTTTCAAACACAAAATTCTAATTAAACTTCTTCCGAATCCCAAATTTCTTACCAAAGCACCATACTTATTAACACAATATTATTCGAACTCTTTTGTTTTTCTTTTTCAAATATTTTTTTTCATTTTTCTTTCTTTTTCTCCTATTTCTTTTTTCACATTTTTTATTTTCTATTCACCTCATAGCAATCAACCAATAAGTACACAATCATTTTTCTCCCCAACTTGAATTGAATCGTATCATTATGTGAATACTCCCTACATTCTAAGGCAAGGAAAAACTTCATACAACAACACAAAGTTGAGGGCTCAAGAAAAAAAACAACAATCAAAATCCATTTAAAAACTGAATTCAATACTCATAGACAAGCATCAAGTTCAAACAACATGGATAGCGACAAAAGGCTCAAAGGGGTTACAAATGATCACACACTCACAAGGTGAAATTGACTATTTGGATAGGTAGTTGTGCTCAAAAGCAAACAAAATGCCTTGATAATATCATGCTTTCATACGAATCAACATAAATGCAAGATTAAACATAAAAAGAATAAATGAAATGCAAATTGTACAAAAGAAAAGTCTCCTAAACATGCTATGTTCTAGAAAGCAATAAATGAGTGTCTGGCGTGTACCAACTTTAAAACACTATCATTACCATACATCCGTAAGTTGAAACGTTCAGACTTGGAAAATCGCCTCTAAATTCCTCAAGATATCGAACCAAAATTGGAGTCCAAACAACAATCAAAAGAATTAAAAATATAATACTCCTACAAAATTTCAATGTACAAAATTTACAATATATACAACGAACAAAACTCCTTAAGCTAAACACGACAAGATTTCAGAAAACACAAATTAACATAACAAAATAAATACAAATAACGATATGAAAACCGGGTGAAAATGAATTAACAAGTTGAAAAGTGAAGATTTGAAATTCAGAATATTTCCTTGTTTCAACTTGTTAAAACACAAATCACCACATACATAAACAAATACAAACAAAGATGCTTATTTTACGTCGTAAGCTCGACACATTTATTGTGTGAGCTAGTAACCTCCTCTCGTCATGCCATGGTATTGTCACACCGTACAAACCTAAAGAAAGTGTCCTAACAATCACACAACAAACGTTATGAAAACGAGACAATTTTTAACAATACGTGAAAACACATATATGCACAAATATCATATACAAGTTAATATACAATTTCTATACAACATATAAATTAATTACAAAACTCAAAAACAAAATAATTTTCGCAATGCGAAAACAATAGAACCAATCCCCGACAACGGCGCCATTTTGTTGGAAGCGGTGTAGCGGCAAGCAACAAAAGTTTTGGAAATATTTATCCGGGAATTTATCATATCCACAGAGATTGGTTATTGAATTGTCGTTCGAAAATTATCTCATTAATGAGTTTGGAGATAAATGGGTTTAGTTTGTATAGAAAGGAAAATAAATAAACATAAAAGTTATACACAAGAAGAATTTCATCATTCAAATAGGATAGAACTCTCGAGTTTGTATTTCGTCCATCCTATCTCATACTTAAACTTACTATCTAGTCGTACTTAACCTTAACTACTCATTAATATCATCACGTATCTCTCACACAGAGGTCATTTCTAAAACAGAGAGAGATATCAACTGTGTTGCTCTGTGTCGACGATCTATCAGAACAACACAAAACAACACAAAGGCATTAAGATTTGATACCTAAGTGATTACTAAGCCTAAATATATCTCTAGAATCTAAGTCCAATAGATATTCATCCTGAATATGGATTCAATTTGTCCATCTCTGTGACGAATCAAAGCCAAACACTTAGCAAGCTAACAAGGATAAACATCAATAAAGATTTGTAAAGAAAGTTTCATACAACACCATGAGCAATAAATATACATATAATCAAGGTAAAGTTACATACAAAATCCAACAAATAATGGTTACAAAGAGAGGAAGAGGAGAAGAAACCAGATTTCCTGCAATGTCAAACACGATCCATCAAGCTCACGACCCCGGATCATCCATTTGCAAGCCACAAAAGTTGTTGTCTAAGCTCTAACTATCCAAAATGAAGGTGATGGAATTTGGGAACAAATACCCCAAATACCATCCACCCAAAAATGAAATGAAAACGAAATATAAAGAAATTATGTTCTGCGAGAATCGCCCGACGACAAAAAGCATCGCCCGGAGATTCTTTCTATACACTTGGCCCAGGATCAGCCACGTCCTCAGCAGGTCAAAAATTTCCTCCATCGCCCGGCGATAGAAAGCTCAACCTGGCGATACGTTCACTCCCCGTCCGAAGATGCACCAACGACCAAGGTAGGAGCAATCATCAAAAATGGCCTTCAAATTTTGCCTTGTGATGTCTTCTATCGGCCGATGATCCATGACAGTCCAATAACTTCTGTTGCTTTCCTGCATAACTTCCAATTGGCTCAAATCTTTAGCCTTATTCTTCATTGATAAAAAATGCATCTTTGAGCTTTATTCCTTTTGCTCCAACAATGCTCAAATACCTACAAAATGAGTACAAAACTATGAAACGATACACTTTATACACGAAAACATATTATATACAAACTAAACATATTTATACACAAAGTTGGGTTATTCAACTGATATTAACAACCAAGATTCGATAAGTGCAACAAAAAGTATATACAAAATAACTATAATTTTGCACTTATCAGCAGGGTCAATCTCGATACCTATTTCACTCACAATAAAGCCTAGCAATTTTCCATACCTCACCCGAAGGTGCACTTGTTGGGATTCAACCTCAACCTGAATTTCCTAAGTCTTTCAAACAATTTTTATAGGTGAGCAAGATGCTCTTCTTCCGTTTAAGATTTCACAATCATGTCATCGACATACACCTCGATCTCCTTGTGAATCATATCATGGAAAAGAGTCACCTTTGCATGTTGATAGGTTGCCCCCGCATTCTTAAAACCAAAAGGCATCACCTTATAACAGAAATTTCCCCACGAGGTAATGAACGTAGTCTTTGTCATGTACTCTGGCGCCATCTTAATCTGATTGTAACCAGAGAAACCATCCATGAACGAAAAGACTTTGGCATGAGCTGTATTATCAACTAGAAAATCAATACACGGAAGCGGGAAATCATCTTTCAGACTTGATTTGTTTAAATCATGATAATCAAAGCACATTTTTACCTTGCCATCCTTCTTAGGCACCGACACGATATTTCAATCCACAGAAAATAGGAGATCACAGTCAGAAACCCTGCATCAAGCTGTTTCTGCACTTCCTCCTTAATCTTATTAGACATCTCAAGATGAGTTCATCGAAGCTTATGTTTCATAGGAGGTGTAATACCCCAAATTTGTCCTACCCTTTTACTTCCTATCTGGCTTACGCGTTTTTGAATTTTTCTCACATATATAATTTCCATTAGGTCATCTAACACATCATGCATCATTAATCAATAAGGCTTGGCATAAGGATCAAGGATCTTGGAGAACCAGAGTTTCTTTAAGTCTTTGAAGCTCTTATATTCTTCCAAGGGATTCAAGTTGTTCTTCAAAGCATGAGAAAGATACACAGTTGTTTATATAGGACATTCTACAAGAGTCTCCTTCTAAGGACTATAAGCTAAGACATTGACCACTTTCTTCTGTTCATCGCCATTCCGTGATTCAAGGTTTATTTCCCTGAACGTGTGGCCTTCAAAAGTGTTTCCCTACGAGGTCTTAAATTTAAGGTAACCTCATCATTATTAGTTCGACTAGATGGAATTAAGGATCATCGAAGATGCAAGCCGTTTGGAATTTACTCATTAAGATTTGAACCGGATTCGGGGTTCACTTAATTCATCTTCCAATATTCAAGATCTAGGCATGGAATATAAGTGGATTGGGTTTCAGTTATTTATGAGATATCAAATTGAATTCAAGTTTTGATGCCAGATATCCCACGATAAATTTCAAACTTCAATTTGGGAAAGTTAATTTTTGACAAAAGTTCCATTTAAATCTACGACACTTTCATTTGGGTTTCAATTTTTGGAGGGAAATCATGGCGTGACAAGTCGGAACATGGGATAAAAGGGGGCCTCAAAGAAAGTTTCATCAATGGTCTAAATATGCAAAATAGTGCAAGTATGACTCAAATAAGCTCATCCCACAATCCCATTTGAAAAACTTCAAGCATTCTTCACCATGAGTCATTCGAAGTTCTACCACGAATTAAGGCGTTTCATTCAATCAATATACGGTCGGATCACAATACAAATTCAGGAAGAAATATTTCAAATCATTACACTACATTTCCTTATACAAACCACTATACTTTATTTCCTCATATAAAAAGAATCCTAGGTGATTGTCAAGTTGGAACTTAATCATAGGACTGCCCATGTTTCTTCTACCGTGCCTCATGAGTTTTGATATTTGACAATAGGAGATGTTATCAACACTGTCTTGGTTGAGGATACTTGCGTTCGTTATATTTTGCTTTACGTGAAGGTCATTAATGTTGCTGCCCCGCCCATGAAAACCTGTATTCAACAAAAAGAGAAAAGCTAGCATCATGATTAATCTGTGCTATCATTCAACTGTTCCATGATCATCACATCTGTAACATACATTCACATGACTACGACATACTCGTGCTGCCAATTCAAATTCAAACTGAGTGTGATACATGTATATGGGGGTACAATTCATAATCGGCTTAGACGCGTTACCTCTTCACCATTTGTGCAAGCAGTTGCTCTACGAGACTTGAATAACTCCAACTATTCGAGTACAAAACAAAGACTTTGGCAATTGTCTCATTATAATTATACACCATTATCATCAAGACTGTGGCATAGATTAACATGCAGTCTTCTTCAGGTTCTAGCATTACAACACCACCTACAAGTAGTAGTAGTACCCACATCGAGGAAATGAGAATGTTAGCATACAAGTTGACACTCGCATTTCATGTCCGTGATTCAAAAACAGCATATACATAAACCCGAAAACAGGGGTAGAAAAGGAGTAATTCCAAATAAAAAGCCAAACAGAAAATCAAAAAAACAACCAAATGTCAAAACCATATCCATAACCAATTCATAACAAACTCTCAAACCTTCTAACCGCTTCTAACAGATTCATAACTAACTTTTTCCTAACTTCTATAACAATAACCAAAACTGTTATAACAACTAAATCATCCCTAACCAACTAACAGTCCAACAAACCCCTAACCAATTTTCCCAACAAACTCTACAAAAAATATATAATAGAGTTCATAGCATATACAAAAAGAGATTGACAAAATAGGGGGATACGATTCAACAACCCAGAAAAGTGATAGAAAAATCTCAAGAAAAAAGTTCATCTCACCTTTTTCTCCGCATCGTTCCTCAATCCACCATTCCTTTTACATCTTCATCCAACCGCAACAATTTGCTGCAACCTCAATCATCATCTCGCAAACCTTTAATCTCCACGATCTTTTCTCTGCATCGGGCTTCAATCATCATTATCAACCCTCATCAAGAAGGCCACGGTTCTTCGTCACTTTAGGAAAGCCTTCCGCAACAACATCAACATCATTCATCACAACAACTTCAACACAACAATCTGCAACAAGCTTCACAACTTCTCACTACATCACCTTCAATCTTTGACCTCTCAAAAACGTGTCAATCTTCAGCATCATTCTCTTCACTGAACTCGTAACAATCAGAACGTCAACGATTCCACACCAAAATTTTAACATCAACAACAATTTGTAACACTACAATAGTCAGATTTATCAATTCAATACATAGAAAACTCACCTTTCTTCTCTCGCATCAGCACCCTCATCTTCTTCACCGAATCAACACCGAGGCTTCAACGCGTATCAATGGTCCTCATCACCGCACAGAAACGACGCAACCACGTGTCAGCATCAATAATCTTCATCCAACAACAACGTTGGCACAATGATTGGCAATGCATAGAGCGCAAGGAAACGAGTGAGTGGCAGAGAGTATCGATGTTGAGGAGATTAGTGAAACAAAGGCTACAGCGGCGAGCGGCTAGCCACGAAGACAAACAAATTCAGAGCAAGGTGAAGAGGTTGTGTCCGCCGCGAAAGGAGGAAGACGAAGGCCGATTGAAGCGGCGGTGGAGGTGAAGAGACTGGCGACGCCATTGAGAGGGTAAGAACAAGGAGCTCCGCTGTTGCAATCCCTAACCCTTTTCCCATTTCCAATTTTCTCATGTTTTTGTTTTTATTTTTCTAATAATTATAACTATAAATTGTTAATTAAAAATATGCTGAAAAAGAAAACATGAATATTGAGATTAGATCTTGAATTCATTGGGCAAATTGCTGAACCACACCCCCTGAATTCAGCTTATACCCCCTGATCCTTCTAATTTTTCTTTCTTTTTATTTTAGTTTTTTATTTTAGTTTAATTTTTTTTCCTCTTAATTGATAACAAAATGATACAAAACAATAGAATATTTTAGAATTCTTTAGAATTTCTTTTTAGAATTTCAATTAGATTTTTTACTATTTTATTTTTCATATTTGGTAATCATTTTTATTGCCTTTTTTTAGTCAAGATTTTTGTGATAGCATTGATATAATTCTTGCAATGTGGAATGCTCGGGGTTAATTCTTCAATCACTTGCCCAAGGGAACCTTGATAGAATTTTATTACCGCTTGCACAATTTTGAAGAGGCAACGGACCTTCTCCATTCGGTATCGTCACAACTCTATTTTATTCTTACTTTACCGCAATTCATACGCGTGCTAACATTAGGTAGAATTCCCTCAAAATTCTAACTTTAGGTCTAACGATACATAATAACATTAGGTTTAGAAGTAAGCTAGTCCCATTTGACTTTTCTTTCTCTTTTTGCATACGCACCTAAAACTAAAACTTCTTTTCTTTTCAAAATTCAAAACATTTTAAAACTATTGATGAGAATCACGCTTTTGCTTAGTACGGGAAATGATAAGCGGGTCTCTTCTCGATATTATCGTTCTTCATCTCAAGCATAGGTGTGGTTCAATTCTCAAAGACTCCTTTCATGACTAAGTAGAAAAATGGCTAATATCTCTCTCTTGAGGTCAATCAGTCATCATCTACAACAAAAATACAAAAAACAAATTCAAACCATTTTGTGCGCTCGAGCACCATTTCTCTAAGAAACCCTTTTCAGATAAGGACACGATTAATTTACTTCTGTGCCAACGCATAAGTCTCCAAAGGTCGAGCTGCGGCAGAAGGCGGAATTAACTTCGTCCACAGCAAACATCTACAACAAAATATAAACCAATTCAAATCTTTTGTGCGCTCGAGCACCATTTATCTAAAAAACCCTTTTCAGGTAAGGACACAATTAATTTACTTCTGTGCCAACGTATAAGTCTCCAAAGGTCGAGCTGCGGCAGAAGGCGGAATTAACTTCGTCCACAAAAAACACAAACAAACAAAAACATATGAGCCGAACTACGGTAGCTCTGATTCCTCAAAATGGATACGTAGGCATTGGGGTAGGGCCCAAGCGAGCACAATTTTATTTTCCCTACATTCTTTTCCCTTTCCTTTTGCATGCATTCTCCAGTAGTATAATAGACAGTAAGCATAGATTAAACACACCCATAAGATAGATAACAAGAGTGGATACCGTAGAGTACTACGAGCGTGTGGGGTGCTAATACCTTCCCCTCGCGTAACAGTCTCCCTTACCCGATCTCTCGGTCGCAAGACCGTGACTTCTCCCTTCTCAGGTTTTCTCGATGTTTACCTTTCCCTACATGTGGGATAAAAGACGTTCGATGGCGACTTCATTGTTTGATGATTTTCAGCCGGTTGTTTCAGCTGGCGACTTCACTGGGGAATCAGGTCGACCAAATGCTGGTCCATCCCGGAGTCGCTCCTAGCTCTTCTTTTCTTTTCCTTGGGTGTTTATCTTTACGCTTTTAGTTTATTCATTCATTTTGTATATACTTGAGCATACATATGCATTGTATTTTACTGTCTTCCATATACTACTGCTGTACAGGATTTGCTTCTTGTTTGGGTTGGGATGTCACTTTTGAGGTAAAAGGCCCAGTACCCAAGCCAGAGTGCACTAGGACACCTAGGTATAGAGTGGGGGCATGACGGCTATAGGACGTGGTTTGATTAGTGCAGTCATGTCACATACCATGCTCGGATGAGGTTCAAATGAATTACTATCGGCACCCACGTCTGTGGGCAAGCCCATAGCGCTTTCAGGCGAACCCGTGATTTTCGAGTTACCATTATCTTACCCTGACCTAGTTTTCACCCGTGAGTGGGGAGGGAATTTCTATCACAGGTACAGATGGTGACTATGTGCAGATGGTTACTCGTGTTCAGATGGTAACTATGCTTAGACAATGACTACTGGTTCTGATGGCTATATTCTGGATTTCTGTTATGACTTTATGCAGATGCTATATCTTGTTGGTGACTGTACGGTTCTCAGATTTATTTTCTGAGTTCCTGACTTGTTTACCTGGAGGTTCATTCAAGCCTTCAATCTTGGTATCCCCAACATATTCAGAAAATGCTCAACAGTATCCGATGTTCCAGAAGCCTTGACCCCGTACAATGGGAGATCCACAGGGTACTTGGTTCTTATATATGCAGAAGTTGTGCCAGACCTTTGATCTGATGATACTCACATGATTCAGAGCAGTGCAGCAATCATATTCAGGAATGATGAAACCTTGATCCTCTTTGATCTCATGCCTTTGCATACATAACATGGCTAACCACATGCGTAACATACATGTTCTATTATTTCCAAAGAATCACATTTGCAAGTCTTGTGCTAAACTCTTCCATCCCTTAGTTGCGCAAAATCAAAATCAAAGCACGCAAATTCCTTGGAAATGACAGAACATGACATGGCATTCATTCATACACCCCATGCATATTCATGCATTCATGACAGGTACCCGAAGATTGGGGATTCTTATTCAGACCTGGGGTTCTCTTCAAAGGTTCAACCTGATTTCTCTCCACACATGCTCAGAGATCAGTTATGGAATAACTCTGAGTGGTACATGCAAGCTTTGGCTCATAGTCAGAAACTTCTTCAAGCAGGAAGATAATGGATTAAATACTCAGATAAGCCAGGTCATGGAAACTCTGATGATGATGTCTATTATTTCTTTAAGACATGATATGCTTGGTGATGCATATTATACTAGGGCACCTGGCTAATCGATTGAAGAAGGTATGTCATCCAGAGACCAAGTCCAAGACAGGCTCAATCCAGAAACTAATGTGTTCACATCAGATCCGAAAGGGGAATTCTCTCGCACACTCGAGCATCAAGACTACAGAAAGTCGTCAGAATCAGCAAGTCCATACGGAGTCAAGTCTCCTCAACAGTGGCAATCATTGGTTTCTTTAACTGCATTTTCATTTGCATTCTTGCTTGTTTGTTTAAACATTGCTTGTATATAGAAACTTGTCTATTTCTGAATGAAAATCTTAATGCAATAAGTATGCTTGTCTTGAAGCGTTCATTTCATTTTACTAATCCATTCGTTATCACTCTTTAAATGTTTTACTTGCATATGCCTAGGTAAAGATTCAAAGGAGGATGATGACAATCTGAAAACGCAAAAATCTCTGGTTGGTACGCTTTTGAGTAAGACCCTGCTGACGATGTACATGCCTTGTTTCTATTCCTAAACACCGGAGATATAAGGGAGATAGACCCTCGTCAACCCCTCTGAGCCTTCGAAGTAGGAGTTTCTTTTCTGTTCAGAAAAAACCCTCATTTTAACCTTGGGGCGGGTAGTGTTCAGCTAATCTGATCAAGCATTCAGAACTCATCAAGAGTGCGCATCCAAGGATACAACAATGGTTATCCATCAAAAGTTGAGGAAAGTCAAAACCATAAAGGTTAACCTTCATCTATCAGCAACGTGCATCAATTAACAATATCCCAATGGATATCTCTCGCACATCAGGAGGTCAACAGATGACGATACAACAATGGCTATCCCGCATCTACTAAAGACTCAGGCAGTCACGATCACTTCTGACAAATCAAAAGCAACGCAAAGATCAACGACTTGTTCAAAATGAAAAAATACGAATAAAAAAAGAAACAAAAATCCCTGCTAAGTCGAAACTTGAAAACAAGTCGCTTAGGCAAAAATTGGGGCATCCCGCTGGACTTCCAAATCAAAATTCAAAAGAATTTGTCCAGGCAAAAAATAGGGAAAGCAAGAAATAAATTGAAAAGCCTAAAAAGCGCGAAAAGGATTACCAATGAAAATCCTCATCAAAGAACAAGGTCGTCTGATCAGACACCAAGATCAGAAGTTAGTGACTGTCGTGTCCAAGAAACCACAGTGGTTCCTCAACCATCGCAAACTCTTCTAGAGAGATGAACGCTTGTGTCAGGTCAACTGAACGTAGGAATGGAGAACATCATGGAGAATGGGTGGGCACCAAATAATTTTGAGCCTTAAAACCTTTTTTCTAAAACCGTGAACCAGGCCACGTTACAACCCATAAAAGTCCTAACTGAAGCATGGGTTAATTTGAAAGCGTGCTACAACGAGATAGAGTTTAACTGACTCCTAAGAGGTATGTTTGAATATCTGTGTTGGCATCATATGCTTGCATTATCTTTCATAAAAAATGAATTTGCAAATGTCTCTCTCTAGCTAGTGACTCGTTCACAACAGAGTCGTGACGTCATTTCATTCAAAGTTTTTTCAAACTTCAAGACTTACATATGTGTTGTATTAGAATTATCATTCTCATAATAAACATTCTTCTGCATAGAAAACAACTGATCAACATCCAGTAAATTTGCACAATGAACAACCGGTAAAGAGCTCAATCTTGTCAGAGAAGAGAGGTTTGAATACCCTGTTGAAGCAAGAATCAGCTGCCACAAGAGAAATAACTTATCCAGCAGCATGTTAACCGGTGATTCTGTCCATAGAAATAATCTTGGTACTTCATAGTCTGAGTACAATTCAGGGATGAAGTTAGCAGATTCCACTAATCTGGGGCAATCAAGTCGAGAGTCGATCTCTCCAAATTCAGCCAAATCTGGGGCATTCCCTCAGAGCTCGATCAATCAGAGCCTATCACGTCGATAAATCTCTTCAACATCAATC